CTGCTGGACACGTTCGCCCAGGCCCTCCACTATGCCAGCCAGCAGGTCGATGCTGGCTGCCATCACCTGGCTGCGCCCGCAGCGAGGTCGTCGTCGTCGTCGTCGTCGTCGGCGGCGGCGGCGGCGGATGATGACGAGCGAGGTGGATGAGGAGGAGGGAGGGGGAGGGGAAGAGGAGAGCGAGGAGGAACGCTCTTGAACTGCTGAGGGCTTGCAATCCGTTTGATGGGGTCTTGCGGGCTTATGGAGAATAGGGAGGAGAAGGCGGGGGACGGAGAGGAGGAGGAGGAGGAGGAGGAGGAGGAGGAGGAGGAGGAGGAGGAGGAGGAGGAGGAGGAGGAGGAGGAGGAGGAGGAGGAGGAGGAGGAGGAGGAGGAGGAGGAGGAGGGAGGAGGAGGAGGAGGAGGAGGACGGAGGTGGACAAGGGCGCGCACGACCACGAGGGGAGTGACCCAATTCACAGAATCATGCAAAGAGGGACAAGCGGGCTAGACGGGAAGGCGGGGTCCTCCTCCTCCAGGCCCTCGCCCCGTCGCCGCCTGTCCTCGAGCTCCGCGCCGAGCATCTCGAGCTCGGATCGCGTGAGGCCGACCAGCTCCAAACCTCTCTGAAGGTCGGCTGCTGGTCCCTCGCGACGAGAAGGATGGGCTCCCCGAGACTCTTTCGGGGGCCCCTGGAGGCCTCTGCTCCCGGCCGCGAAAAAGGGGGTCCATTCTAGCCGAACCTCTTGGGTCGGGGCCCCAATGTACGCCAGCGTGAAACCCTTTGGATTCCGATGGCCAGGATATACACCAGCACGAAATTTGTCCAGATAAAACGAGCGACCCGAAGTCGACGAAGGTCGACAAACCGAACGAACGCTACCTCTCTTCGTGCTGGTGTGGGAAACAGCACCGCACGAGGTGCAGCACAGAAGTGAATCATGAAACGTGTTCCTATCCGACTCATAAACATCACCCTGCTCAAGAGCGTGCCCGTTCTGGATCCACGCTCCAGGGGTCGGGGGAGGGGGGATCTCAGGAGGCTGCTCGCTGGCAGGGTTCCCAAAGGCTTCCTGAGGCCCGCCTCCCCGCCCAGAGGCCCCTGGACCACCGGGCGCCTCCGAGGGGGTCCCTGACGCCCCAGGATGGGGCAATCCAGGGATAGCGTCGAGCAGGACGTAGCGTAGCCATTCTAGATTCACGTGATCGCTAAAACACAGATCTCTGCACTCAGCCTGCTGGCTGGCGCAGTAAACGCCCACACGCCGCACGAACGCAGCATAGCCAGTGAGCAGCTGTCTGTCTGCCGCAGCAATTCGGAATGGCTCAGCCCCTTCCTTGGCGAGCCTATCCGCCCCCGGGTTCCCGGGCCGCTGCATCTCTGTGATCCGACCCTCGCGCACATCCACTATCGAGGTGTGGGTGGGGGGGTGGGGGGGGGATCTTATGAACGCAAATTTCTTCCAAACGGCCCCCTTATCTCAGCCCGCCAGTGGGCCCGCGCAGAATTCGAACTCGAGCCCCCCGTGAGGTTTCGGAGGCACGCGGCTGTGGCAGCGCAGTCCGCATCGAGCGAGACATTGGGGGAGAGGACCGATCGGCGAGAGAGCACCAACACAGCAAAATCTTCATCGTCGCGTGCCTGTTTTTCAGGCGCTTCCCCGAACGGCACAACGCCGAACAATGCGGCAGAGGTTCTGCCTTGGCTGTCGAGCACCGCAACTGCCCGCCCCGCGGTCCCTAGGCCTGTGAGCTTCCCCTCAAAACCCGACCCGTCCGTGAAAACGTGCTTGCCCCCATCGGGGGTGAACAGGGGGCCGTCCTGGGGCCACTGGAAGTGGCGCGTGCGCGGATTCAGCGGGTCGCGAGGGGGTCGCTTCGCCCGGGCCGCAGGGTTGGGAAACAAACATCTACTGAAGAGTTCCCCAGCTGGAGTCGGGAGATGGCCAGCCTCCCGAGCAGCCCTGGCAACCAAAAGATCCAAGTTCTCATGGCGCCACGGTTCGAACGCAATGCGTCGGAAACGACGATGGTACAAAGTGCCGCGGCCCTCTCTGCACAGCTGACATTCACAGGTGGCCTCTGGGCTGTGTTCAAACACTTTGTGCTCGCACCAATGCGCATTCGCCGCGAGCGCCGAACGCGCGGCCTTGTGCGATTTCGTCCACACCTCGGACCCCTTTCGCCCCAGAAGCTGGTGAATGGGCTGCCGAAAAAACGGGCCCACTCCACAGGCCCAAATCAAACTGCTTTAGCTGTTCTTCTCTTTCGATGGCCCTAGCGACCGAGCCGCGCAAGGGGTGTGAGAAGAACTTGGCGAGAAGCGACCTATAGACCATTCTCTCTGGAGGTCATCAACTTGGGCCATCTTCGAAAACTCGAAGGACCATCGGACCCGAGAAAGCTGCAGGAAAAGCGCAGCAACAAGCTGACGAACCTGGTTCCAAGGGGCCTGGCCCTTCTGAACCGCAAGAGCGTCCTGGACACAAGACTCTAAAGCAGCTTTCGGGATGGACTTAGCCCGCCTAACTCCAACGAGTTCCTTTGCAGCCGCCGCCGCCGCCACCAGAAGCGGGCCCCTGAACCAGGGTCGGGAGGGGGAGAGGAACATGAACCCCAGGGAGGTCCCAGGAAGGAGGGCCCCCCAGGATCGCGCGGCCTGGGCCCGAAGCTCGTGGAGGGTGGTCGGCGGGGTCCCCCAAATCTGGGATCCCCACGTTGCTTTAGCCAACGGTCCAACTCGATAGACACGACTATGTTTCTCACTCTGCCCAAGCTGGCGCAGGGCTGCTCCAGTGCTGCGGGCGGCAGCAAGCCTCGACGTCTGCGTGCCGACTCTCCGACCTCTGCCGTTCAGCGAGTCGCCGCCGAGGTCGCGGTGGGAGATGACCAACTTGTCGCCTGCGAGCTTCCACCTTGGATCCTGTGCCAACTCAGGCAGCTGGCTGCGCTCAGACATCATAAACTTGGTCTTATCTCAATTAATAAGCAACTTCTTCGACTCCAGCTCTGATGTGGCAATCTCGAAGCTGGCAACCGTATTCGCAAACATAAGAAAACTGTCTTGGGGCCACCGATGGTGTGCGCCGTCAAATCATGCACCACGTTCAGCGCCCGGCATGGTGGAGTCTCCTCTGCCAACATCTTGAGAAGGCACAGCGTCATCAGCTTCGACGCTCCAGCTGCTGCGCTACAGCCTGCTACGGTCGTACCATTTGGATGGCTGGCTCTGCTAGTTCCTCCCGTCCACCTGGCTCTTCTCGGCGCACGGTGCAAGCAGCGCAACGCCTTGAGCAAGGCTCCGTCGAAACTGTAGTGCTCTGCTGCTTCTCGCAGTTGCTGATGGCTAACGTTCCCGTGGGACTTGCGGATGTCGTAATACACCGTGATGGCCGACAGTCGTTTCCATCTGGCGTGGCACGCCAACATGTTATGTAGGTATGCCGCCTTGTCACAACTGGTCGCCGCATTTTTCCCCAGAGGAATTGGGCATCAGCAGACGCTTCCCGCCTCTTGACAGACTGCCTTCTGCATCGGCTCCATATCCGTGCCCAGAAACAGAGTAAACCTATGGGCCTGGTCCCCCCATCTGGCTTTGTAAGGAAAACATTGATCGTAACCCACATACGTTCACAGTGTGGTTCGCGTTCCCAACACGTGAGAATCTCCTGCAACCTCCTCACAAATGCACCATCCAGGAACCGTGCGAGCCTCATGTGGAAATTGTCCCAACCAAGTCCTGTGGAGGGCCCGAAGGAACGGCGCACTTGCACGATCTGGTCCTCCGCAGTGGGGTCGAGTTTTCAGGGGTAATTCCAGTCCGATGGCGCCGCCTCTTGGACCCTGTCATCCGAGATCCACAGCTCTTCCCATTCCTCAAGCACCGCAGTGATTGCCGCAGCTCCCACCAACCCATGAGGCTGACCCTTGGACAAGGTGGGCGCTTCATCTAGCCGCTTGGGCCGAGCAATCGCGTGCGCCAGCTTCCCAGAACCTTCTGCTGCAAACTCGCCAAACTCACGCCAAGCTTTGCTCCTGGCCTGCGAATCCTGGCGCCTACGTTCTTCTACCTCCTCCTCTAGGACAGTTCGGACCCAGGCTGACAGCTGGCCTCCTCGCTTTGCAAGGGCAGCCCACTTCTGGACATCCATCGCCTTCAGGGAGGGTGAGTCCGAGATGGCCTCAGGGAGCTCCAGGGCTAGCAGCTGTCTCTCGCACCTCTCGGAATGCTCGGGTCGCCATGCTTTTGGCCCCGAAGGAGCTGAGGACGCCACACAGAGGGCACCCCAGAGCCTGAACGCACTCAGCCACGACCTGGTGTCCGACTCGTCGTGGCGCTCGAGGATGGACTTGTCGCAGTCCACCAGACGCTTCTGCTTCAGCACCACCCCCTTCTCCCGGGCAGTGTCCATTCTCCTATCCGAGAGCGGTATCTCGAACAACTGTACCAGGTACTTCTCGGCGGCCTCGAACCACATCGCTGCGGCGTTCTTTGCTGAGTCCAAGGGGGCATCCAACTGCCACTCCTCCAGCACCTTCACCGAGGGAGGCGCGCCCACTTGGGTGAGGTTCACCGCTTTGGCGCCATTGGTCTTCTCCCAGGCTTTCCGCTTCTTCTCTTGCTCCGCCAATGGGAAGGCCCGCGGCGGCGCCTCCACCCAGACGAAGGGCTCGTCTCTCAAGCCGTCAAGCTTGATCTCCACATAGCAGTGAGGCGAGATGGGCGCGTCATCTCTCGCTTCCACCGTCATCGGGAAAGCGTCTAGGGCCTGGGAGCCGATGAAGTAGTCGTACTCCTTCCCATTGCACGTTGGTAGCCCAGGTGCGAAAATGGTGGCCGTTGCCAGGAGGACAAGGGAGGAGGGGAAACATATGAGGAGGGATTCCGAGACAACATAGAGCGGGATCTATTCAGGGGCAGCCAGTGCGAGTAAGTGGCGCTTTCGTTGGACGGCGCCCCCTGCTGCAATTCTGGGCGCACATCTTCTGTTGCGCGCACTGTGCCGCGTCCTGCCGCATTTCAGGGCACACCCCGCCTTCTTACCGCGGGGCGCGACAACAGCGGCCCGGGCTGGAGAACCCATCCTGCGCGCGTCTCGTGCCTTGCTTCTTGCGGCTCCCCTCCCTCCAGCCCAGCGTCCTTCCTGTCGTATCTTCGGGAGGCCACGCCGCTGGATGTTTGTCCTCATGAGCGCCAGACGGGGGTGATGAAGTTGCCAGCTTTCTCGAAGGGGACTTCACCATACGAAGCGTCAGCCATGGAGGAGGAGGAGGAGGAGGAGGAGGAGGAGGAGGAGGAGGAGGAGGAGGAGGAGGAGGAGGAGGAGGAGGAGGAGGAGGAGGAGGAGAGGAGGAGGAGGAGGAGGAGGAGGAGGAGGAGGAGGGAAGGAGGAGGAGGAGGAGGGAGAAGCGGGCGCGCAAAAGGCAGGCACGAGCGACAGCCATCGGTATCGCACAACTGGCGACGAGAACACGTGGCAACGTTTCGCCGTTGGAGGGGCCGTTGCCTCCCCTGGACGCCCGCGGTTGCCTCGGCGCGCTGCCCACACACGACGCCGCTTGACGGTCGGGCGGGCCCAGAGGGTGTGGCCCCCCACAAGCTCTTCGACGCGATGCGGTCGCTACTTTGCCGTCCCTCGGCCATGATGCGAAGAGGGGGATTGAATCGAGGAGGCGAATGGCGACGACGACGGCTATGATGCTGATGATGATGCTGATGCTGATGATGCTGATGAAGACGATGGTGATGCTGATGATGATGATGATGATGATGATGATGATGATGATGATGGTGGTGATGATGATGATGATGATGATGATGATGATGACGATGATGATGATGATGATGATGATGATGATGATGATGATGATGATGATGATGATGATGATGATGATGATGATGATGATGAAGGGAATGTGGAGTTGCAATCGTTACCACGCCGATCTGTTTTGAGAGGGACCTGGACAGAGACGAGAACGAGGAGCGGGAGGAAGAAGAAGGAACGGAGGAGGTTGGTGGGCAAGTATTTGGTACTTCGGTTTGGAAACAATTTTTGGCAATTTACGAGGAATCCGCATTGCCGAACGAGGACGTGTGGGGACTGATAACGACGCTTGTTGGAACGGCCGTTTTTTGTTTGTTTTTTTGCGAACGGTTGCCACCCCTCTTCTCTGCCTTCGGAAGGCAGGTATCGTGATAATGGTTCGGACTCGTTCTCGCCACTTCCCCGGATACCGTGTAGGAACCGACCCCAACCCTCCAAGGGATGATGGGGCAAGACGGGGACTTCCCGTACCCCAGCAACAAAACGTGCTGCCAATATTCGGGAGAGCGTGATCCACCGCCGCTTTACTGTGGAAAATTCCCCTCCCCCCCCCCCCTCTTCCTCCGGAACCCGGGGGTCCCCCCCCCTCCGAAAATCCGCGTAGAAGCCGCACGTGAAGCCAACCTACGCAAGGCACTCGGGATCCACAACGCCCATGGTCGAGCGGTTGACCCATGCCGGCGGAGGCCTCCGTTTGCCGATTGCGCGCCCGAGCAGGGCACCGTGCCACCCGGCGGCGCCGTGCGGCGGCGCGGCCAGCGCCGACGTCTCACCTGCATCAATGGACTCATGGTTGGATTCGGGCGGGTGGTCATGGGGGACGACCTAAGTTGGTGGTGAAGAGCCAGCCCCTTCAAAGCTGTTCTCCACCCCCCACTTAGGTCACACACCCCTAACGCTCCGCCCGAAACTCCACGTCCGCGCCGCGCCGGTCCGCGGAGCTCGTGGAATCGCTGGCGAGGTCGGAGGCAGCGAGACGCCGCGCCTCCTCGGCATCTGTGAGGCTGCGCGGGGGCCTAGAGGCCAGGTCGCCGTCGGTGCGGGTGGATGCCTCCTCCCAGGCACTCGGACTCACGCTCACGAGCTGTACAATCAAAACTGATAGAAATGATGCGATGTCAGGATGCAAGCTTTTTGGACGCGCGTGTCGAGGCTCTGCGAGCGTGGCTGGCCGAGGAGGCGAGGATGCAAGGGTACCCCTGAGAACGTTACCCATCCCATCGGTTTTGACAGCATCTCATCTACATCGCTGTCCGCCTCGGAGCCCTCGTCTGTGGAAACCTCTTGCGCGCTCTCGTCAGCCCCCTCGTCTGGGGCCGCGCAAGACTCCGAATCCAAAGTCTGGCATCGCCTCGTGCGCTGACCGATCGCCGAAGTCCGACGGCTCGCTGTCCTGGAAGAGCCCCCGCCTGCTATCAAATTCGGAATCTTCGAAATCACCGAAGGAACGCCACGGCGCCCGACGAGGAGAGAGACTATCCTCGGGAGAGTCGCCAATTTGCGCTTTTTTCATGGACTTTGGTGAATTTGTGGCCAGGGCGTCTTCGAGTGAGTTGCGAGGAGGCATCGAGCGGGAACCGTTATCGTCGCAGCTGGGCCCTCACCAGACGGAATGGACTGCAGGGAGGTCTCGAGCCAGAGAGCCGCTCTTGACTTCGAGGAGCTCTCTGGCCAGGGCGGCCTGCATGGTCTTCGGGGGAAGTATCGGGCAGGAGACGTTGTCGTCGTAGCCTCAGGTCGGGCATGTCTTCTCACAGGCGGATGTTGGAAGAGACATGAAGCATAGCCCAAACAAAATTCAACCATAGTAAAAAAGAGCATGACATATCGTCCCCAGACTATTCCCCAATCGGTGCTTGCACTGAAAAGGTCCTCGCGGAAATTGAAGGACTTGGCGAACATTCCCCGCCGAATTTGGTCGCACGCTAAGTTCCCGGGTTCCCGGTTCCGGGTTACCGGGTTCCCGGGTTCCCAATTCCGGGTCGATTTCGGAGGGCGGCGAGGTTCCCGGGTGCCCGGGTTCCTGGTCGATCTTCTTATCGATCGGTCCCACCATCGATCTCATTACCCACTTCTCCATCGACCTCACCGTCGATCTCACAATCGATCTCACTATCAATCCCACAAGCGATCTCACTAGAGATTGCATGAGCGATCTCGCGATCGATCTCACTATCGATCTCATTGAATCGATGTCACTCTCGGTCTCACGATCGGTCTTAACATGGTTCTCACTATCGATTTCACTATCGATCTCATCATCGATCTCACAATCGATCTCAAGATCCGTAGTATCAATTTCCAAATCATCCACTGATTTGGGATTTCTCAGGTGTAACCTTTTTACCATTCTTGAATCTCCCTCCTGTAGAGGGACACGCCAGACTCAATCGTAGCCTTAGGTCGGGCCTGCTTTCCTACAGGCCGATTTTGGCAGAAAATTAAAAAATACCTGAGAAAACCCCAATCAGTGGATGATTTGACAAATTGGTACTATGGATCTTGAGATCGATTGTAAGATCGATGATGAGATCGATAGTGAAATCGATATTGAAAACAATTGTAAGACCGATCGTTGGACCGAGAGTGACATCGATTCAATGAGATCGATAGTGAGATCGATCGCGAGATCGCTCATGCAATCTCTAGTGAGATCGCTTGTGGGATTGATAGTGAGATCGATTGTGAGATCGACGGTAAGGTCGATGGAGAAGTGGGTAATGAGATCGATGGTGAGACCGATCGATAAGAAGATCGACCAAGAACTCGGGCACCCGGGAACCTCGCCGCCCTCCGAAATCGGCCCGGAACCGGGAACGGGGAACCCGGGAACCTGGAACCGGGCACCCGGGAACCCAGCGTGCGACCAAAATCGGCGGGAAGCTTTCGCTGAGTCCTTCAACTTCCGCGAGGACCCTTTCAGTGCAAGCACTGATTGGGGAATACACAAGCAAGATTCGAAAAGTAACCAAAACTTCCCCAAAATCGTCCCCAGACTATTTTGACTATTTTTGAATTTTCCTCCTGTAGAGGGGCACGCCAGACTCAATCGTAGCCAGGACGTCGACAGCCCCCAGGTGGAGGGGATCCCGTGCTCGAGCGGGAGCCTCGCTCTCGAAGAAGGGGTCGCTGGCGTCGAGGTGAGAGCGCCCGGAACCGATTCCCTATGTCAGCAATGGCCCTTTTGGAGGAGGAGGAGGAGGAGGGGGAGGAGGAGGAGGAGGAAGAAGAGGAGGAAGAGGAGGAGAGAGGAGGAGGAGAGAGGAGAAGGAGGAGGAGGAGGAGAGAGGAGGAGGAGGAGGAGGAGGAGGAGGAGGAGGAGGAGGAGGAGGAGGAGGAGGAGGAGGAGGAGGAGGAGAGAGGAGGAGGAGGAAGAGGAGGAAAGAGGAGGAGAAGTGACTATTCGAAAACATCGGCGACGACGACGACGTCGTGGCCGCCATCGCCGTCGGCGGCCGTCGGCGCCTCTCGGTCCGGCTTCTCGAACTCGTTCGGGTTCTGCTGGGCCCGCTGCGAAGCCTGCGCCCCCTCGAGCACCTGCTGGGTGACGGGTGATGGGAGTGATGATGACAATACTGTTGATGATGCTGATGATGATGATCATGATGATGACGATGATGATAATGGTGGTGGTTATGATGCTGATGATGGTGATGCTGCTGCTGATGATGATGCTGATGTTCATGATGATGATGATGATGAGGAGGAGGAGGAGGAGGAGGAGGAACAGGACGAGGGGATGGGGGATGCGGAGAAGGCGGAGGAGAAGGAGGAGGAGGAGGAAAGGAGGCATATGGGTAGGATGATGAAAAAGACGTGGAGGAGGACCAGGGAGGATAAAGACGAGGGGGTGTCATTGCCACACCCCCCCTCTCCATCTCCCGTTCCCTGTCCACCTCTCTATATGTATATGTATATTTGTATGTATATGTACATGTACATGTACATGATAATGGACATGTCTAACACATGTTGATACATAGGCATGTGTACACATAAGTGTATACATATAGCACTGTCCCTCTTCTCTCCTCTGTTACAGCCTCACTCTCTACACATTACCCTGGCGGCGTACACAACCCTGCGCAATGCGTGGCAGGAGTAGCTTGTGAGATTTGACGAGAAGGCGGCGACGTGACATGGACGCATATACTTCTGCGAGCGGCATTCGGAAGGTTCGCAGGTCCGCAATCAAGGGAAACACGATGACTGACTGAGTGAATCCCTGCGTCACGAAGGAGGACGCAAGGTCCAAAATGAGACTGTGGGCAAGGGGCTTGAAACGTCGGCGGGGCAACAACAACATGACATGGCCGCCCAGGGACGGCGAGGTCTACCTCAGGTCTGCGCGGTGCCTCACTCCGCTGGACCCCCCAGCAACCCTCGAAAGTGGCGAGCCCACCAGCAGCCCTCGGAAGTGGCGACAGTTTCGCAGATCGCAGCACCCCAAGGACGGCGAGGTCTACCTCAGGTCTGCGCGGTGCCTCACTCCGCTGGACCCACCAGCAGCCCAGTCTCGCAGATCGCAGCCCCCCAGGGACAGCGAGGTCTACCTCAAGTCTGCGCGTTGCCCCACTCCGCTGGACCCACCAGCAGCCCTCGAAAGCGGCGACGGATTCGCAGATCGCAGACCCCCAGGGACGGCGAGGTCTACCTCAGGTCTGCGCGGTGCCTCGCCCCGCTGGGCCCACCAGCAGCCCTCGAAAGTGGCGACAAGTTCGCAGATCGCAGCCACCCAAGGACGGCGAGGTCTACCTCAGGTCTGCGCGGTGCCTCGCTCCGCTGGACCCACACGCAACCCTCGAACGTGGGGACAGGTTCGCAGATCGCAGCCCCCCAAGGCCAGCTAGGTCTACCTCAGGTCTGCGCGGTGCCTCACTCCGCTGGACCCACCAGCAGCCCTCGAACGCGGCGACAGTTTCGCAGATCGCAGCCCCCCAGGGACGGCGAGGTCTACCTCAGGTCTGCGCAGTGCCTCGCTCCGCTGGATCCCCCAGCAGCCCTCGAAAGTGGCGACGGTTTCGCAGATCGCAGCCACCCAGGGACGGCGAGGTCTACCTCAGGTCTGCGCGGTGCCTCACTACGCTGGACCCCCCAGCAACCCTCGGAAGTGGCGACAGTTTCGCAGATCGCAGCCCCCCAGGGAAGGCGATGTCTACCTCAAGTCTGCGCAGTGCCTCACTGCGCTGGACCCCCCAGCAGCCCTCGAAAGTGGCGACAGGTTCGCAGATCGCAGTTCCCCAGGGACGGTGAGGTGTACCTCAGGTCTGCGCGGTGGTTCACTCCGCTGGACCCACCAGAAGCCATCGAACATGTCGACAAGTTCGCAGATCGTAGCCACCCAACGACGGCGAGTTATACCTCAGGTGTGCGCGGTGCCTCATTCCGCTGGACCCACCAACAACCCTCGAAAGAGGCGACAATTTCGCAGATCGCAGCCACCCGGGGACGGCGAGGTCTACCTCAGGTCTGCGCGGTGCCTCGCTCCGTTGGACCCCCCATCAACCCTCCAAAGCGGCTACAGTTTCGCAGATCGCAACACCCAAGGGACGGCGAGGTCTACCTCAGGTCTGCGCGGTGTCTCACTCCGCTGGATCCCCCAGCAGTCCTCGGAAGTGGCGACGGTTTCGCAGATCGCAGCCACCCAAGGACGGCGAGGTCTACCTCAGGTCTGCGCGGTGCCTCACTCCGCTGGACCCCCCAACAACCCTCGAAAGTGGCGACAGTCTCGTAAATCGCAGCCCCCCAGCGACGGCGAAGAGAGGGCAGGAAGAGGGAGGAGGCGGGAGGAAGGACGCGCGAGCAGTGCTCTATTCAAAACGAATGCCCAACCAAGGAGGGTTGGGAATACGATACACGTTGTAAGTGTTAGCCATCGCGAGACACAAACAATTAGTTCCTGCAATCTCTGCGGTGCAATCTATGTCGTGCACTCTATGCCGTGAGAACAAAACAATGCAAAGTAACGCAACGCAATGACAAGTACTATAACACAATGCAACTCACTTCAGCGCAATCCAGAACAATGCGAAGCAATGCGAAGCAAACCAAAGCAATGCAACGTAACAGGAAGCACTGCACTGCGCTGCAATTCAAAGCGACGCACAGAAACGCGAAACAGTTCAAAGCAATGCAAAACACTGAACTGCGAAGGCATGCTTAACAATGCGACGCAACGCAAACCAACGCAAACCAACGCAAAGCGATGCAGCGCAATTCGAAGCAACTCCAAACAGTGCAAAACAATGCAACGCAATGCGCACCATTGCGAAACAGTGCAATGCAAACCAATGCAATGCAACGCAATGCGAAACAATGCGCAACAATGCATCACCATGCAGAACAACGCGGCGACGGGCGGAGACGAGCCGTCCTGACCGCCACTGGTGCCCGATGGCGACGGCGGCGACTAGCCGGCTGGACCAACTCCGGGGTCCAGGACTGCCACGAGGGTCCAGAGGCGACGGCGGCGACCAGAATACAAGGGATAACCCCTATGTTCAAACACTGTCTGTGGACTACTCCTATCCCTATACGTCCTGCATGGACCACCCCGCTGGATGCCCCCCGCCCGCCGCCCCCTAGACTCCCAGGACCCCCGTCGGACGGCGGCACCCCCGCCCCGGGGCACCTTCCTGACGGCCCCCCAGGCCTCCCAGGCTAGCCGCCCACACTCTTCTGGACGCCGCGGGAGCCCCATAGACCTCGCCGCGACTCCAAGATGGACAAGGAAGCCCGAGGACGGCTGCCACGTGGCCCCAAGATGGCCACAACACGACCCAACAGGCTCCCAAGAATGCCCCAGAAGAGCCCCAGAGGGGGCCGCCCGAGGGAAAACCTTGTGAGTTCCGTTGGGTTTTGGACGGGCTTTGGGGTTCTCCCCATTTCGAGCTTCCCGTGGCCCACGTCGAACCCAAGGGCTTCCCAGATCGCCCCCAGAAGGGTGCAGCAGCCTCCGAAGCGGCCCCAAAACTGCCCTATCGGGGATCCCAAACACCCAAAAATGCCAAGACCGGCATCCAAAAAACCCCACGGAAGCCTAGAAGGGGCTCCCAAGAAGACTCCAAGGGACCGTAAGACGGCCCAAGACGACCCTGTGACGATGCACGCGACCGCCAAGATGCCCCAGAGGCCTCCGACAATATATATATATATATATATACATATATATATAGACATATGTATTTACATGTACGTATGTATGTACGTACGTGCGTATGTATGTATGTATGTATGTATGTATGTATGTATGTATGTATATATGCATGCATGCATGCATGCATGCATGCATGCATGCATGCATGCATGCATGCATGCATCTATATATATATGTATGCATGTCTGTATGCATGTATGTATGCATACATGCATGCATGCATGCATGTATGCATGCATGTATGTATGTATGTATGTATGTATGTATGTATGTATGTATGTATACAGATGTGTAAATGCACACGTATATCCATACATACGTGCGCGCGTACATTTATAGTATAGATAATTATAAAAAACATTCATGCGTACACACATACATTCATACATAATTACAGACAGACAGACAGACAGGCAGAAAGACAGACATACAGACAGACAGACAGACAGACGGACGGACAGACAGACAGACAGACAGACAGACACACAGACACACACGTACATACACACAAATATGCTTTGGAAGGACTTGGGGGTTCTCCCCATGTCGAGCTTCCCGTGGCACACGTCGGACCCAAGGGGCTTCATAGATGGCCCCCAGAAGGATGCAGCAGCCTTCAGGACGGCCCCAGAACTGCCCTAGGGGGCCCCAAACGCCCAAACATGTCCCAAGACGGCGTCCAGGAAAGCCAGCGGAAGCTTGGCAAGGGGCTCCCGGAAAGGCTCCGAGATGGCCCTGCGACGATGCACGCGGCCTCCAAGGCGCCCCGCTTGTCTCCGACAATCCCCCCGTGCTGCACAGCATGTGCCCTCAGAGGCCCGCAAGAAGTCCACCGAATGGCTCCAGGCCATCAGTAATTTCCCGAACCGCCTCCAACGAGGCAGTGCGTCCTCTTGCTGCGGATCGTCTTCCTCCTTTTCCGCACGTTCTCTTTCGACCTCACTGCGTTGCAATCTCGCCTTTGAAACGGCCCGCCCAACAGGGCCCTCAGACGGCGCCCAGTGAGCCCAGCGAGAACCCCTCCCGGAGGCTTCAGGACGGCCAAAAGGAACCGCAATAATGGCCCCGCATGGCCCGTAGACGACCCTTCCCCGTTCCTCGACCTGCGTGCGTCTTCTCATCCCTCTGCTCCTCTTATCCCTGCCCTATCCTTATCTTCCTCCTCCTTCCTCGTCCTCCTGCCTTCGTCGTCGCCATCCTCCTCCGGACGGCTTCTCCAGGCTGTCGGTGTGCGAGGGCCGCTTGCGAAATGCAAAGCCGTCGAACAACGACTCGGGATGACAAGGCGCCTCCAGGAACTCGAACATGGGATGGATAACAACATCGGAAACAGAACGTTGCACTCCTGGGGGCCAGCTGCTTGACAGACGCCGATCGTCGTGGGCGATGCTTTCTGCATATTTTCCGCAGACATGACCTGGGCCCCCCTCGCGGTCATCAAGTTCACCGCCCTCGCAATGTAACTGCACCTGTAAGCTCAATATCATGACTAAGACTCCACTCACGAGTACCACCCTCCTCTCTTATGAGATCCACAGGTGACCCACCCCTTCCCTGTATTGCCGACGGCCCCTTTTCCTGGTCATAATTTGAATCCCATGTCACGGCCATGCCACCTCCATCAAGGTCATGAACGGATATCCCCTCTCGGATCATGACCTTGGCCCCCTCGCGATCATCACATCGGATGTGTGGTCCCACTCATCGGCAGAGGGGGCCATTGCGCAGGCCCCGTTTCGCCACGACCTTTGCCCCGCTGGCGGTCATGGCTGTTGGGCTCAGGGCTAGCCTCGGCATCGAAGTCCTCGCTTTCGCCCCCGCCGCAGTAAGGCCCTTCCCTGATGGCGCGAACATGCCTATAAACTACATGCGGCCCATGACCGTCGCCCGCCTCCTGGTCAGTGCCGTTCCGTTCCGGCGAGTCCTTCGGCAGTCCACCAAAAGTGCCTGGACGAAGGTCCAATATGAGAGGCGAAGCTAAGCGAGCCCTCAAATCTAGTATATACATATATACATTCACACAAACATATACATATACACACAGAAATGCGTACGAACATTAGTGTGTGCACACATCGATATATATATATATATATATATATATATATATATATTCCTCCTGCTCCTCCACCTCCTCCTCATCCTCCTCTCCCTCCGACTCCTTCTCCCTGCCCTCGTCATCCTCCGCGTCCTCTGCCTCCTCCTCGTGCTCGTCCTACCCCCGCTGTTCTCCTCAACCTTGCCGCGCTCCTCTTTGCCCCCCCCCTCCTGCCTCTTCGGCTCCTGCTGCTGCTGCTGCCCCTGCCCCTGCCCCTGTCGCTGCTGCCTTTCCTCCTCGTCTGGCCTCTGGCTTTGGTTGGACTCTCCTGGGGGTGGTTGGAGGCCTGGAAATTGACACCAACACCAGCACAGGGGACTGCCTCCACATAAGGAAGGTGATCCTCGATTTCGGTAGTGGTGGTGATATTTCGGCCACCTTGGAAGCCAGAATCTTACCACCATCACCGAGATCGGGCTCGTCTTCCCTCGGTGGAGGCACACCGCCGATCTTAGTGTTGGTATCAACCTCTAGGCCTGCGAGGTGGAGCTGTCCCTTGGGTGTCCGGGCCGTGCCTCGGGCCCGCGCGGGGGGCCCGACGTGGCTCGGACGACCTCCTCCTCCCGGGTGACGGGTCCCGGGCCTGTCTTCGAGCGGGCGGTCGCTCCTCGCCTTTTCCGTCCAATCTGTGGTCCTCTCCCCTGCGAGTCGGGTCGCACTTGTCGCTGTCCCGTGCGCTCGTCTGGCGGCAGGAAGGGAAGGGCGGCCTCAGCACGAGGGCGGGAGGCAAGTCACTGCTCCCCTCCTTCCTGCGGTGCCTCCTCCGCCTGCTGCTGCTGCACCTCCTCCTCTGGCGGCCCCCGCCCGGGCCTGCCGGGTGCATCTCTGGGCGAGCCGGGGCATGACGGGCAGCAATGCCTCGCCCAAGTGCTGCGACAGGGCCGACCTCAGACGAGGAGGAGGAGAAGGAGGAAGAGGAAAAGGAGGACGAGGAGGGGGCGGACGACGCGGAAGAGGAGGCGGAGGAGGAGAGAACCAGTGCAAACCCAAGATTCATCAACGATGTTGGAATAAACTCTCCCCCCAAGGTCCCTCTCCATAGGCCCCCTACACTGATTCATTTCCACTGCGGGAAGTGCCCAGTTGTGAGATAAGCGCTTGAACCTCCTGAAGCGCGCCGAAACACAATTCTTTGGACTCCATGGCCACGTATCAGCTTCACTGTTGCGTCTTGACGATCTGGAACGAGCAAACTGTACTCCTGGGACTTCACCACCACGAATCTAAATCGCTCCAACATACGATGTGTGGCACGTTAAGCATGAGCCCCCGTGCCACTCTTGCAAGAGTTCAGTCGAGAGTGCGCGGCTTTACGGCGATTGCCACATTTGGAAAGCAACATCAGCCCCTCAATCAGGGCCTTGGCAATTTTGTAAAACGAATGCGCGCGGCGCTAAGGCGAACACCACGTATCGAAAAGGAACCACCCTCAATCCGTGAAGCTCGTGCAAACGTTTAGAAATAATGTGCGGGGCGCCAGAGCGAGAGCCACAATTTGAACACGGCCCGCCATCAATTCTTAAGTTCCTGTACTTGTTAGGAGGAGTGCGCGCGGCGCCAAGGCGAGAACATCATTTTGAAAACAGCTCGCCTTCTATCAGTGCAACTCCTGTAATTTGTTAAACGAATGTGCGCGGCGCTGAAGCGACAACCGCACTTTGAAAACTACCCGCCCTCCATCCGCGAAGCTCTTGCACGTTCCAAGCTCAAGAATGAGAAATGGTGAGGCCAACTCAAGCGAACCGCCCAACCGGCCCTTCGAACCGGTCGCCTCGGGGTGCGACAAATAATATTTCCCACAAGGAGAGGGAACGGAAAGGGGAGAGGGAGAAGGAGGAGCGGAGTGGAGTGGGCCCCACATTGTGGATATAAAAGTGGAAGAAGATGGGCAGGATGAACGACATGAGGAACAGCAGGGGATGATGAAGAAGAGGAATGATGATGCAGAGGATGAGGAAGCGGAGGAGGAGGAGGAGGAGGAGGAGGAGGAGGAGGAGGAGGAGGAAGAGGAGGAGGAGGAGGAGGAAGAGGAGAGGGTGGAGGGGAACGAACGCCAATTGCCTTCCTCTATTAGTTGCCGCGGCACCGCCAGCCGCGGGGGGGGGCACTCGCTGCGCCATCCTCCCGACGGCGGTCTTGCAACACATGTGATGGGTGTCGTAGATGTCGTTGATGGTGTCGGTCGCCGCTCTGGGGGGCCAACTACGCACTTTACCTCCAAGTAGGCGTAGTAGAGGAACGAACTGTTCCTGGTCGTAGCATTGATTGAGTGGTCCGTGCCGTCCACGCAGTTTGTGCGGGCGGTCATACCACGTCTGTCAGACCAACCACCATGTAGGAACTGCCTTGACTTCGCTGTTGAACGCATGGCGTGACGGTGTTGTAGGTAGTGCGCAATCCCGTCCTCTCTTTCAGCTTTCACCACGTCCCCCTTTACGAGCACGCCGTTTTGCCACCGCGTGCATCCTGCAGCTTGTATGCCATCCTCCTGCAAGTGTGCGAGCCACGATCCACTTCCACGTTGCAGGCTGAGACTTCAATTCCTCCTAGAAAGAACCACCATCGCATCCCACTATCACAAGGAGCCCGACAATCACTGTACCATGCCCGCAATCGCTTGGAAGTCGTGGTGGGTGTCGGGGGGCCAGCGGTTCTGGAGCCTCCAACAGCCTCAGCTCTCCGAGCCGCCCGACACGCTCTCCCTGAGGCTGCCTCCAGATCTCGATGGAGGCGAGCGCGGAGATGCGAGGGTGGATTGCGCAGCGCCTCGTCGCGCACCGGAGCAATAGCTGCCTCCGTCTTCCAGAAGGGTGGTGGCCACCTCTTTCCCGCAAAGCTCGCCAGCCCAACCCATTCGGTGCCCGCTTCTTCCGGACGCGATGCCGTGTTAATCCACTTCGGGATGGCGAAGTTCACCATGCGCCAGGGCGACGCCACAGACATCGCCCGCATAAGCTGGACCGCAATCGCTGGGAACCAATCGCCACATGGAATAATACCGACAAACTTGAACTCTGATGATTGTAGACGCACCACTTGATGGAGAGCGTCGAATTCGCTCCTCCGGGTCCCAGCGGGCAACGTGTGAAATTGCGCAATGAACGATAGAACTGGTAAGCGAGACGTCCCATTGAGTCTGACGTTGGTGTCGATGGGGCTAGCGGGCTGACCCCTGATGGCGACCCTGTGCCACCACTTCTCTGCAGCGCCCGACCATGCATCCTCTAGCACGGCGCCAGGGCCCATCATGATTCCCATGTGTTTTCCCTTATCAGAGATTTGGATGCCCTTCCACTGAACGATGAAGTAATCTACAATATGTTCGACCTTTGCTTGAACGGTACTATCCAGCGGAACCGGCAAAGGGATGAGGAAACTCTTCATCGGCTGAAGATTCAAACTCCCGAAGACCACAACTTGACCAAACACTCCAATCAACGCTGGCAACATCTTGATGTTACGGTTGACGGTGCCCACATAATCTGTGCAGGCGGCCACAACTCCCATCGATGGTTCTGGTAGATCTTGCTGAAGATCACGTAGTGTTGGATCCGCTGCTGCTGCCCATGCGATGCCTGAGAGAAGACATCCTTGAACCACACCGCTGGCAATCTTACACAACACTCGGCATTCTCCTCCCAACAATAAAACGCTTCCTGACCGTCATAGAAGCCGTGCATGGCATTGATGAGTCCACTCTGAAACCAACATCTGCGGAGAACCGCAACCAGCCATTGACGTCAAAGCGAAAGGAATTCAGCAACCATGTCAAACAAGCACAATCGGAATCATGTCTTGCCCCAGGAGGCCCTTCCTCTGATGAGCCCTTGCTGAAATATGTGCGCAGAATCCGCGACCTGAATGGACACCTGGCGGTTCAGAGCCTAGACGATATTTTTGGAGTCAGTATTCCTTCTCGAGATAGGTCGAGGCGTGCTGGCCTCATAGATGCAACATACTAGGTCCACCTCCTCGGCGCCCTTGGATATAAATGAAAACGTCGAACGATTGAATACGGTGGGGGGCCTTGCCAAACTCACGGAAGTCCATCGACATCTTCAAGAAGATCGGCGTCTCCTTCCACTGCCTACCATGCTTCGTAAGGGAGTGAGTCTGGACCAGGCGTTGAAGACCGAGTCCTCCCCGCAACAAATTGAAGAGACGCCGCAATGGGAAACCCAAAGGTAGCAACTGGCATATCGGAGGGGATGTTCGTGTCCAAGACCTCGTGGAGTTTGCCTTGGTCGATAAAATTCGCGGCACATGTTGGAGACCAATGTTTTTGCAACGCGCGTACATACCTTCTGGATCCTTGGCAACACATTGACCATCAACAGTACTGATACCCCGAAGCTGAAGACAAGACGCGCACGGAGCCCAGAGCCTGCTGCGCCTTTGGAGGGACCTTTGGTGTTTTTGAAGACATTGCGTATCTGCCTCGCCGCTTTCGCTGCCTCATGCTGAGCTCGCTGCTGCACCGTCTGGGTTTGCATCCAGTGACTGGTCCGAGTCGCCGATGGAAAATGCAAGCCCCTCGAAAGAACCACCGTCCCATCTCGGGAGCGGCCAAGAGGGGGGTGTCCAAGAGGGGGGGGTGCAAATCATGACCGGCGGCATGTGCGCGGCGCAGCGGGCGGGCCAGGGACGTGATGAAATAAGAAGAGGCGCCATGAAATCTGGGGAAATATCGTGGCCCACGCCATGATATCCACCCCCCCCTAGTCATCACCCCCCTCTTTTCCGCTCCCGAGAGGATGAAGAGGCGGAGAAGCGGAGGCCCCGGAAGTCTGCGAATTCAAACATTTTAAGTGTGCCGTGTACGGAGACCGCCGCGGGGGTTGCTCAGGGGATCGGGGGGGAGGAGTGGATGCTAAGGTGGTTTATGCCTGGCAGAGCCTGGCTTATACCCGGTTTATCTGTGCCCTGAGAGGTTCACGGTGACTAGGTAGCTCCGCCGAATGAGTTCCGCCGGCTCAGGTCAGATCTGCACCCCGCCTGAACCACTTATGCATGACACTTGTAGACCACCCATCAGCTAGGTCTGGCCAGAGGCATCCCACCTTGGCATCCGCTCAGGACCCCCTTACCCCCTTAGCAACCCCAGCGGTGATCTCAATAGGACCCAGGGCTGGTATGGAAACGTCTGATGCCTTGGCTGAGGTGTCTAGGTTGGAGGAGGAAGAGGAGGAAGAGGAGGAGGAGGATGAGGGGGAGGAGGAGGGGAAAGAAGAGAAATTATCATATTAGACACCGATCAGGGCCAACTATGCAAATTCGAAAAAAAGGCCGCCCTAGGACCGACACAACTACCGCGAGATTCGAGCCGCGAGACCGGCTCAATGCTTTCAGGACATCTGAACCTAAAGCAACGCGCACACACAAACTAACCTGTAAGCCCGAACAGGGAGCAGCTGAGCCAGCGAGATTGCCCCCGAAACCATAATTCCGACAACTTATCATTGTGGCTTGCTGGGTTCTGGCTCGCTTTGCTGTTTGCTGGGACCTCATGCGAGGGTGGACAGGACCGCCAATGAAAACGTTTTGGGATCAGACCTAGCGGGCGCAAACCCGCCACAAGAATGCGACCGCAGCGCCCTCTCGTGAGCCGAAGGACCTGGGCATTTCATTCGCTGCTCGACTTGGGCAAGATGGGGCTGCATGAGAGCGTTGCTTGCATTCGCGGCGATCGCGGACGTCATGGGGGGGAAGGAGCGCGCCCCGCCGTGACAGGCTGTGGTGCTGAACGCTCTGGGGCGCTCTGCGGCAGCGCCGGGGACGCCCTGGGCGGGAAGGAGCGCTACGGCAGGGGGAGGGGAGGGGGGGGCGAGGGGGGCACAGCGCGCGCCATGGCCCAGAGGTTCTAAAGCAACTGCGCTCCAGTCGATCAACCTCCGACTCATCTCCCGGCGCCACATGTCAGGGCTAAGGGCGGAACGGCCAAGCGCTCCACATCGCAAGCACGTCGAGCGTGGAAAGCACCAGGGACAACCGGGAAGGGCCACGCGGCCACCCAGACAGTAGCCCATCCGATTCACAAGGATGAGGGAGGCGAGCAGCAGCAGACGGATCCGAGAAGGACTCTGATCCGCACGGGGCGAGAGGCTGGGCCAATCCGCCGACCCTTCGGCGTGCGTGAGACGCTGTCGTCGTCTGCGTACGCAGGCCCATCGCGGCCCCAGGGGACCTCCGGCAGCAAGGCCCAGGGATTGTATCAGCGGGCCCCCTGGGGGCATGGGGTCCGAAGAGGTCCGAGGAGGCCCAGTCCGTGGAGCAACAACATCGTGGCGGCGGCGGCCGTGGGGGGAGGGGCACAAGTGCAGGGAGGAGGGAGGCAAGGGAGGCGAGGGACAGAGGGAGTGCCCCCGAGATTAATCCCCCGGAGATAATAAAGTTCTGGGTTCCGGGGGGGTAATCAACTTTTGTTCTGGCGAGCCGCATGTACGGATGTACAGATAGCACGCAGACAGCACCACATAGACAGCACATAGACAGCACCACGCAGATGCACCATATAGACAGCACATGGACAGCAGCACATAGACAGCATCACGCAGATTGACCACATAGCCCTGCCACGCGTTCGTGACTTGGGAAGGCTGACGCGGCGAGAATCCCAAGGCCCTGTCACACGTTCGTTATGATGTTTCTCAACGTAGGAAGATCGCAACTGCGATTCGTAACTTTCCCCATGCATAATTAATGAAGATCGGCCTCGCCGCCCCTCTCCTCCGACCAATTCTGTCTTTGGCCGGAGATAAATCAAGACCGGGGCTTAAGGGGGGGATGATTTATTATCCAGGACATGGGGTTTCAGTATGTCGGGCGTCTCCCGAAGGGCGGATTTTGGACGCAACATGAAAAATACACCCCAGAAACTTGCTCCCCCCGAATGCTCAAAAATAGTCAAAAGATCGTCCCCAGACTATTTTCGGACTATCTTTGAATATCCCCTCTGTAGAGGGTCTCGGTGAGGGGTCGATGCGCCCCCCTCTGAGCCTACCGAGGCGGAGGAGGATGCGGAGAAGGAGGAGGAGGAGGAGGAGGAGGAGCAAGAGGAGGGGGAGGAGGAGGACGGGGAGGAGGAGGGGGAGGGAAGCCAGGGAGCGAGGGGAGAGGGCACCGGCTGCCTGCCCCCGCCTTCTCGCATATGCCGCGCTCCGCGCTGCGCCCAGGCTGTCTTCGCGCCGCGCAGACAAATCCGCACCCCTCTCCCGACAACGGCAAGTGATGTGTGCAGGGACCGCCGCGCCGAGCCCGAGCCCCAAAGAAAGAGGAAAGGGGAATGGAAGAGGAAGAGGAGGGAGAGAAAGGAGAGGATGCCGTGCCGTGTCGAAAGAGGAAGGGGGAGGGAAGGCCAGACGGAGGGAGGGAGGAGGGAGGGACTCGTCGACAACCAGCTAGGCGCTTCTTGTTCTCTGGGGCCTCTGGAGGGCCCCTGTCGCCACGACCGAGTCCGCCTCGAAGCCATGAAACGGAGAAGAGGGACCAGGAAGAACAGGACGCACATCCGATGATGTGCGGGCGGAGGACACAAACCTCGGGAGGACTGAGAACTGGAACCGGAAGCAACATCGGAACTGGACCCAACCCCGGAACGGGATCCAATTAACCGGATCCAGGACTGGAACTGGCATTTGAACTGACATTGGAGCTGGAACCTGAACCAGAGCCAGAAATTAACCGGAACAGGAACAAGGCCCAGAACTCGAACCTGAACCAGAACTTGAACGGATGAGGAAGCGGAGGAGGATGAGAAGGAGCGATGAAGGTGATGATTCTCAGCCTCTGGAGCCCCCTGAAACCTCCCCCCCCCCAAAGAGCCCCACCGAACACGCCTCGAATCACGTCAGCGGCTCGCTCCAGAACCCGAACCCCCAACAGTGTAACATCTCGGAGGTCCTTTCCTTTGCCTTCGCCAGCTTCTGCTGGCTTGCGCCAGCAGGGCCGCCCCCGTTCTGCTCCCGCCGGTCTCTGCTGGCCTCTCCGCCGGGGAAGCTGTGGCAACTCCTCGGGCCCTCGACTAGGCGAAGTCTTGTCTGCATCACCCCCGACAGGAGCCCTCCTCCTCTCGGGAGCGGCCGAGGGGGGGGGTGTCCAAGAGGAGGGGGTGCAAACCATGACTGGCGGCATGCGCGCGGCCCAGCGGGGGGGCCAGGGACGCAATGAGGCAAGAAGAAGCGCCATGAAATCTGGGGAAACATCATGGCCCCCGCCATGATATCCCCCCCCTTGGTCATCACCCCCTTCTTTGCCGCCCCCGATCCTTCTCGTGCCCGGCGTTCCCGAGGGGCCCCCGGGACAGCAGGTCCTGCAAGGTGCCAGAAGCCCCGTCGCCTCTCTCGACGGAATGAAAATGGGAGAGGGGCGGCGCAGCGGCTCGCGGTGCACCGCGAGCGGGAGCAGAGGGGAGGTGGGAGCGGGTGGGAGGGACGGGGAGGAGAGCGTACAACGTGATGATGATGAAGATGGTGGTGATGAGGATGATGTGATGATGATGATGATGCGGATGATGATGTGATGATGATGATGCGGATGATGCTGCTGATGATGATGACGACGACGATGATGATGATGATGATGCTGATGATGATGATGATATTGATGATGATGATGCTGCTGCTGCTGATGATGATGATGATGATGATGATGATGATGATGATGATGATGATAACGGTCATCATGACGACACGGAGGAGGAGAAGCAGGAGGAGCCGCATTTGGAGCGAAGGCAAGAGGGGGCAGGAAGGGGAGCGGCAAGAGGACGGGGGGGGGTGATGACGCGGAGGCATCAAGCTGGACCACAGCAGGCGGGCCGACATCGCCTAAGGGGCGAGCAGGCACTCAAACAGCGGAATGATGGACCTGTCGTTGTCCGCGACGCTCTCGAACTTGGCCATCAGCGGCCCCATCAGTGCCTGCACTTGCTCGGTCGGCTCTAGCGGTCCCGCCACAGCGTTCGGCTATCGCGCTCCGGTGCGCTGTCTGCTCGCCCGGCGTGCTCTGAACTTATGCTGCTCATGTTGCTCGCTTCCTTTGCTGGTGTCGCGCTCTCTCCCTCTCTCTCTCTCTCACTCTCCCCCTCCCGCTCTTTCAATTTTCCCCCTAGGGCTCCTAGGGCTCCCCCTAGGGCTCCTAGGGCCTGAGCAGTGCTTGCACCTAGGGCTACTTACTTGCTTGTCAGAAGGACCTGGGCCTGCCTGGCGATCCGGCGGCTCCGTGGTTGCCGTCGGCACCCGTTGCCAGCTCGTCGCCGCCCGTCGTCGGGGCCTGTCTTGTGGTCTGGTGGCTCCGTGGTCGCCGTCGCCGCCCCGTCGCCGCCCATCGCCTGGGCCTGCATGGCGGTCTGGCGGCTCCGTGGTCGCCGTCGCCGCCCCGTGCCGCCGCGTCGCCGCCCCAGATTGCACATCGATTGCGCAACGCAAACTGACTGACATTAACTAACTGAACCGCATCGGAGGCACAATGTAGATTGCTCCACATACATTGCACGACATAGGTTGCACCACATCAATTGCACCACGTAGATAGCACAACATTGATTGCACCACATAGGTTGCACCGCATAGAGTGCACCACGTCGACTGCACCACACAGACTGCCCCACAAAGATTGCACAATATAGATTGCACCACATGGATGGCACAACATATATTGCTAGAGTGAGACTGTTTGGGGCTCGCGCGTGGTAGCATTTTTCGTCTGTCATTCCCCAGGCGGTGTTTGCCCTTAGGGGTTCTTGCATGATGGTCTAAGGGGACTGGGTCGGTATGGCGATCTGGCGGCCATGTTGTCGCTGTCGCCGCCCCGTCGCCGCCTCGTCGCCGCACACGTCTGGGCGTGTACGGCGGTCAAGCGGCCATGTTACCGCCGTCGCCGAACCGTTCCCGCTTCGTCGCCGCGCACATCTGGGCCTGTATGCCGGGCTGGCGGCCATGTTGTCGCCGTCGCCGCCTCGTCGCCGCCCGTCGTCTTGGTTCATTCTCACCACATCGCTTGCACAAGATGGGCTGCACCACGTGGGTTGCAGCACGAACGTTGTTCCACATAGATTGTACACCGCGTCGGTGTACCACATCGATCGCGCACCATACAAGACTGCACCTCATTGCCTGCCCCACGAATCATGCACAGCATAGACTGCACCACATCGATGAAACAACATATATTATTGCTAGAGTGGCAGTGCTTGGGGTCAACGAATGGTATCTGGTTTTTTTTCTCTCTCACTCCCTAGACGGTGCTTGCCCTTTGGGGCATCTTGCTCCTCGTTCAAGGGGAGCGGGGCCTGCGTGGCGGTCTGGCGGCCACGCGGTCGCCGCCGGCGCCCCGCCGCCGCCTCGTCGCCGAGCACGCTTCCTGGGCGTGCACGGCGGTCTCTGGCGGCTGTGCTGTCGCCGTCGCCGAGCGTTCGCTTTGTCGCCGCGCACGCCCGGGCTATGCACGCCGGTCTGGTGGCCATATTGTTGTTGTTGTTGCTGTTGCTGTTGTTGTTGTTGTTGTTGTTGTTGTTGTTGTTGTTGTTCTTGTTCTTGTTGTTGTTCTCGTTGTCGTCGCCACCCCGTCGCACCACACATATTGCACAGTGCGCGCGTGCTGTCGCGAGAACCCGCTGCAGCAACTGGGACGAAGTGTGCGCGCGCGCCGTCGCGCGCGCATGCCGAAATCCTTGAGCAACCTTAGGTCCCGCAAGAATTTCAACTTCGAATGTCCCGAAACAATATACTAATACCGGAGGAAAAACTCAATCAAAGTCTTTTTAGGGCTTTAGGGCTATGGGGCTATTGGGCTATAGGGCGATGGGGCTATGGGGCTATAGGGCTATGGGGCTATAGGGCCAAAGGGCCATAGGGCTATAGATCTATAGGGCTATATGGCTATACGGCTATAGGGCCATAGGGCTATAGGGCCATATGGCTATAGGGCTATGGGGCTCTGGGGCTACTGGGCTATCGGGACATAGGGCCATGGATCTGTAAATCTATTGGGCTATGGGATTTAGGGCTATGGGGCTATAGGGCTATGGGGCTATAGGAATATAAGGTTATAGAACTATGGCGCTATAGGGCTATTGGGCAATATGGCTATAGGGAAATAAGGGCTACAGGGCTGTAGGGCTCTAGAGCTCTAGGGCTCTGGGGCTCTACTGCTATAGTACTATAGGGTTTTAAGGCTCTAGGGCTATAGGGCTACTGGGCTATTGGGCTGTAAGGCTGTAAGACTATAGGGCTATACGGATATAGTGATATAGGCCTATACAGCTATAGGGCTGTAAGGCTATAGCGCACCAAAGCACCCAAGCACCTGGGCGGGCCGCGGAAACAGGTGGCAAACCTCACCTGGCCATGTGAGTCCGCTAGGACTTTTATCACGTTCCGCAAGGATTTCAACACCGATTGTCCCCAAAAATATAAACACATATGGTTTCACAACACGGGTTTTCAAAAACAGCTCGCGCTCGCGCTCTGTCGCATCTTGCAACATCAACCGTTTTTTTTCTACATTGCATTGTCTTCTTCCAAACGGGTTTTCTGCGCCGCGTGCCGAAATCATTCGGACGCCCTTGCGCGCGTGCTGGGGTGGGGCGCGATCCGTGTCAAACCATGCCATGCGGCCGCTCTCGCGCGTCGGCCGCGCGCGCATGTCGAATTCTTTTCAAAACCTTATCACCGACGCGAAGATGCCGGCATCGTCGTCGGCGTGATCCGCATCGGCGCCGTCAATGGCCGTGTCGTCGTCGCTGTCAGCATCGCCACCAACATCGGTACCATCATCATCGTGTCTACCATTGTCGACGTTGCCATAGTACCGCGCCCGCCCATGTCGCCGAATCGCGTTGAAGTGCCGCAATGCCCGCTGGGATGTGCCCAGCGGCCAGCGCCACCGAGGCCGCGTCGGTCGCGCCAAACTAGCTGGCCGATGCGCGCGCGCGAGCATGCGCGGGTTAGCACGGCCGCCGGGATGCAAGAACCAACGCCAAGCACTCATCACAATCGCCGCCGCATGGGTTTTGCAAACCAGTGCGGGTGGGTGGGTGAGATGTTTGCGCGAGCAGGGGAAGAGACAACTCGCTGCGAACAAAATTGGTGTCCACTACGTAGATGGCGCAACCTAGATTGGACCACCCATGCAAAACGCACATTGCACAACGTATATTAATTCTTTAATAATACTAGCCCCTGGAATTAACGATCCACCTTTTCGCATTCCAAGTTGCATGTGTTTCTGCCCCATCGTCCGTCCTAAATCTGAACTCATACTACCCCAGCCCAGCTGAGATCGACCCCCCCGGCATCTTGTGCAACAAACTACTTTGCACGCGCTCTCGTTGATCAAGAATCATCTGTCTTCAAGAACCCATTGCAACAAATGCGACGACGTGCGCAAACGCGCGTCGTCGCGCGCGCATGCAAACATCCTTGAAGCAAACACCTTGGGTGTTGTAAGGAATTGCAAATCGAGTGTCAGAAAACAAATGACAATTCTTGGTTTTGCTGCAGGAATGCTCAAACTAGATTGCGCCCGCGCCCTTGCAAGTTCTTACGAAAACCATCGGCTTCTCAACATTTTCATACAATGCTTCTAAATCCCACCAGCCCTTTGGGCGTGAGTGGTTTAGGTAGCCTTCTCTGTCCTCAACCCCCCAACCCCCCTTCTTCCCCTTCGGGGAGGGGTTTACCCCTCCCCCTCCCCCCTCCCCCTGGGTCTGGAGAGGGCGGGCCGCGGGTCGTTGGAGGGGTCTTTTTCGACTCCTGGGAGGGCTAAAAAACGACGACCCTCACGAGGATTCTGGCCCCGACGGGGGGGCTGAGAAAAAAACCCTCCTCTTCTGTGAAGCCAGCAACATCGATTTTACTAGGGTTTTGGCCCCATTTTGGGCTTCTGAGGGGGCAGCGCTCATCGTCCTTCATAGCAAAATCATTGATTTTACGAAGGTTTTGGGCTCATTTTGTCTTTCTCAGGGGGCAGCTCTCATTTGCGCTTCTGAGGAGGTCGCACGAGGCCCTAAGATGGCCCCAAGAGGCCCCCAGGAGGCTCCCAAGAGGCCTCCAAGAGGCCCCCCAGAGGCCCCCAAGCGCCCCCAAGAGGCCCCCAAGAGGCCCCCAAGAGGCCCCCAAGAGGCGCCCAGAGGCCCCAAGAGGCCCCCAAGAGGCTCCCAAGAAGCCCCCAAGAGGCCCCGAAGAGGCCCTACGAGGAGCCCGAACGACCCACACCAGGACGAGGGGCCCGAACGACTCACACCACGAAGAGCCCGAACGCCTCACACCACAAGGAGGGGCCCGAACGACTCACACCAGGACGAGGCGCCCGAACGACTCACACCACGAGGAGCCCGAACGACTCCCACCACGACGCGGGCCCCGAACGACTCACACCACGAGGAGCCCGAACGAGTCACACCAGGAGGAGGGGCCCGAACGACTCACACCAGGACGAGGGGCCCGAACAACTCACACCACGAGAGCCCGAACGACTCACACCAGGACGAAGAGCCCGAACGACTCACACCACGAAGAGCCCGAACGACTCACACCAGGAAGAAGAGCCCGAACGACTCAGACCAGGACGAGAACCCCCAAACGACTCAAACCACGAGGAGCGCTTTCTCTCCCTCCTCCTTCGCCTCGTCCTTCTCCCGCTCCCCCCACAAGGAGGATGTACAAGGAGGTGGGAGGAAGGAGGAACAGGGGAGATATGCAGGGCCAAGCGGACACACGCCTGAAAAACACGACTGTCGGCATGCTTCGCGGGAGTTGCTGCTGTGAGATGGGCTGGTGGGGATACGCGAAGCGTAAAGAATTGGCTTCTCGCCCGCACGTGCCGAAATCGTTCGAACGTCTTTGCGGCTTGCGCGCGCGTCGTCGCGCGCGCATGCCGAAATCCTTGAACATCCTTCGTCTTCGTAAAGATTCCCAAACCGAACGCTCGGGAAACATATAAGCAACACGCGGCTTCGCAACATCAGTTTGCCGCTCCCCCCAAAAAAACGGCGCTCGCGCTCGAAAGGTTTCACAATCATCGGTCTTCCAACATGTTCATCGCATTCTGCCAAGCGGGCCTCTTGCGCCGCATGTCGAATTCTTCGAACGCTCTTGCGCGCGTGTTGGGGTGGGGGGGTGCGGTCCGTGTCAAATAACACCACGCGGGCCAATCGCGCGCGTCGGCCGCGCACGCGTACCGAAGTCCTTCAAAAACCTTCATCGCCGACGCGAAGACATCGTCATCGTTATCGGCGGGCGTGACCACCATCGGCACCGTCGTTTGCCTTGCCGTCGTCATCGCGACCTTCGTAACCATCCGTGCTCTCAGAATCGTGTCTACCGTTGTCGGCGTCGCAATGCAACCGCGCCCGCCCAAGTCGCCGACTCGCATTGAAATGCCCGCTGGGGAGGGCACAACGGACAGGGTCACTGCGGCCGCGCCGGTCGCGCCAAACTAGCTGGCCACTGCGCGCGCGAGCATGCGCGGGTTAGCGCGGCCGCAGAGATGCACTAGCCAACGCAAAGAACGTATCGCAATCGCCGCCGCATGGGTTTTGCAAACCAAGTTGCGGGTGCGTGGGTGTGATGATTGCCAGAACATGGGATTTGAAACGAATCAAGAAACGGCACCGCCGATGATTAGCGCCGACACACGGTCGCCAGCTGGAGGGCGACAGTTTCGACGCGAGAAACGCCGCTTCAGCGGGGCGCACAGCAGCGCTTTCGCGATAGCGGGGCGACTGGGCCAAAACGGCTACAAACAGTGAAATAAAAGGAGGAGGCGGGAGGAAGAGGAAAAGGTGCGTCACAACTGGCGGGCGGTGCCCGCATGGCTACAAACAGGGAAGGGAAGAGGGGGGAGGAGCGGGCTCGCCATCGCTTGGACGTCCATTCCCTGTGTTTTTGTTCGGTTTCGTGCGTGGTTTTTTCGCCACATGATCAAGGATGCTCCTCGATTGCCCTCGCCGAAGGAAAAATGCACACGTCCGAGCGATGCCAGGGCAGAGGCAGGCGGCAACGGCTCGTCCTCCCCCCCCGGTGAGGCCGACGACGGGGCGCCCGACGTCGCGCACGCCGCACGCTGAGGATACCCCATGATAGGGGGGAGAGGATGCGCAGGGCCGCCAGGGAGGAGGAGGAGGACGACGACGACCACGACGACGGCGCGATAACGACGACGCAGTCTGGATGCCCCGTGGGAGGGGGGAAACAAGGTGCTGCGTAGGCCCGGTGTGGTAATCGGCGACGACGGAGGACGACACACTGTGGATGCTTCGTGTGTGTGTGTGTGTGTGTGTGTGTGTCTGTGTGTTTGTGTGTGTGTGTGCGTCTGCGTGTGCATGTGTCCCTATCCGCCAGCGCAGTCACTCTGCCTAGCCGCCGACGCAACAAAATGCGTGAATGTGTGAATGTGTGAATGTGTGAATGCGTGTGTGTGATTGTGTGTGTGACTGTGTGTATGGTGTGTGTTGGTGTGTGTGGGTGTGTGACTGTGTGTGTGTGGTGTGTGTTGGTGTGTTGGTGTGTGTGTGTGTGTGTGTGTGTGTGAGAGTGAGTGTGTGTTTGCGTGTGCTGCGTAGGCCTGCTGTAGTTGTCGCGACGGCGACGGCGACGACGACGGACGACGACGCGCTGGGGATGCCCCATGGGGTGGTTGGGTGTGGAGTGCTGTGGTAGACGACGTCGACGCCGACGCCGCCGACGAATATGGCACGTCAACAATCATTTTGAGAGGGGGGAACTTTGCCTCGGAGGTATACGATCATTATTGCAACTTTATACTGAAAGAAATCGTTTTGAGGCTGCCGTTTTGGGGGGTACACGATCCCCCTGGCGGCGCCAACGACGACCCTCTGGTGGGCTTAATTCAAACACAGATTCGCTCCCCCCGCGGGGTGTATTCATCAGCCATCTGGAGGGTGGGGGGCGTAATTTTATTCACGAATTGACATTGGGCGCTCACATCCAGCTACTAGCGGCTCGCAATGGTAGTCAAGATGACGTCTCTTTTGTCCGCTTGCTGTCCCTGCTCCTACCGACGCAAAGAGGACTGCCGACGACTGCTACTGGCAAATGCTGCTCCTGCAACTTCACCTTCTTATGCCACTCCTGCTGCGACTTTCTTCTCATGCGACTTTCAGTCCCGCTGCTACTGCGGCAACTGCTGATCCCAGGCTAGTCTCCCAGCTCGTGGGAAGTAGGCCAACGTTGTCGGGTTGGTCTGTAGTTTTCGAAGGCCCCCCTCCTACCCGTACCTCGCAGCGGTGAGCGAAACAAATGAACTTGCAGACGCCGCTGCGCGCACATATCGAACAGCCCCAGACATACAGCGTGCGATCACCAGTGCACGTGCCGGCGTCGTCCACAAAATTTGTAGCAACGGGTACACACATACGAGTATCCGTAGAAGGAGAGGGGGAGAGGTACACACACATATATATATATATATATATATATATTTATATATTTGTGTGTATGTACGTAGATCAAGGGAGAGGGATATATATATAAGAGGAGAGGATCCATATATATATAGAGAGAGAGAGAGATATGGGGACGTAACAAACAGAGAAATAGAGAACCACATACATGCAGAGAGAGAGAGAGAGAGAAACAACTATATATATAGATAGAAAGAGATAGCGGTCTGGTCTGATCCGCGGTAACATCTAACTTCGCTCTGGCCACCCGACCGTGCCTGAATGTACTGCGGCTTGGCAAGATGCTGGCCCACCTGCTCTGACAGTGTGCCGACGGCGTCGTACAGGATCAATAAGTTCTTGGCCTGATAATACTGGAGAGCCCGCGCGAGCGTAGACCTTGGAGCCCTCCCGATCCCGTCGGTGGCCGCCGCGCAAGTGGCACATCGCCCCCCCTCCCCCCTCCTGCTCATCCTCGTCCTCCCCCGCCTCCTCCCCCCTCCAATGGCTCCTCCTTAGTCCCCATCCTTCTTTCCCCCTCTCCCCCACTCCTCTCTCCCCCACCTCATCTCCTCTTTTCCTCTCCTCTCCTCTCATTTCATATCCTCTCTTCTTTCCTCACCTCTTTTCTTATCTTCTCTTCTCTTCTCTGCTCCACTCTTCCCTCCTCTCCTCGCCTCGCCTCTCCTCTCCCTCTCCCTCTCCTCTCCTCTCTCCTCTCCTCTCCTCTCCTCTCCTCTCCTCTCCTCTCCTCTCCTCTCCTCTCCTCTCCTCTCCTCTCCTCCTCCTCGAGCGTGTCCTTCTCCGCCCCTCCTTCCAAAAACTATCCCTGGACCCCCCGACTCGCATCCGGGCGAACCGGGACGCCTCGCGGGTGCCCTACAAAGGGAGTAAGAGATACGTCCAAAGATCTCGATCCTCGATTCTTCTTCCCATGTCCTCCTCTTCCTCCTCTTCCAGCCCGGACACAAGCGGAATAAGGATCCAAACTGCCCGTGAGCACAAGGACCCGGGAAGCAGCTCTTCCAGCTGCAAGATCCC